CCTAGATTCAATCCCTAGTACTCAAAACAAATTCATTTTTCTGTGCTGAAGATGTAATGACTCTTCATGCTTGGATACATTTTTAAGGCCCTTCTTTCAATTTCCAGTACCACACAAAAATGATTTTTTAACGTATTTCCTAGTAGGCCTCTCATTTTCTTGGCTACGGTAGTTTTTATCTTGTTTTGTTTTGTTTTGTTTGAGACAAGGTCTCACTGTGTAGTTCAGGCTGGCCTTAGGCACAGTAATCGTCCTGCGTCAGCTCCCTGTATGCTAGAATTATAGGAGTGCACCACCAAGTCCAACTTTAGCTAAGTTATTACTTTCTAAAACTCTAGAGTTTGGGCTGGTACTATGATGGAACATTGCTTTTGTTTATTTTCTTTTTATTTTGGTTTTGGCTTTTTGAGACAGGGTTTCACTGTGTAGTTCAAGCTGGACTTGAGCCCATTATGTAGCGCAGGATAGCCTGGAATTGATATTTTTCCTGCCTCAGCCCTCTGTTGCTTGGGATTGTAGGCATGCACAACCATGCCAGTTCCCAGATTTTTATTTGATCCATGGATATTGCACCCCTGCCGAACTCTCACCCTAGTACTACATGATGTCTTTTTTCCTAGGCAGATAATTATAAATGATGGCAGCTCTTTCTCTTTTCAGTTTGCAAGGATCTGCAGTTCTGTGTTAAGCAGTAACACTGATAGTTTTGTTCTCTCTTAAAGGAAATGTGCCTAAAGTTCCTCATGTGGTATTGTTAATGGGAAAGTGGGTCCTAACACAGCAAGGACCTGGCAACACACCACAGTTTTCTGTCTTTGTCAAAAGCTTACATTACTTCTCCAGAGGTCATCCATATTGTAGCTTGTATCAGCCTCTCCTTCCTTTGAAGGCTGAGTAATATTCTATTATATGAATACACCACGTATGTAGGTCTAGTCTTCCATTGCTGGACATTTGGGTGGTTTCTACCTTTTGGCTCTTGAAAATAATGTTCTCGGGCTGGGGAGATGGCTCAGTGGAATAAGCGCTTCCCTGGCAAGTGCAAGGGCCTGAGTTCAATCCCTGGTTCCACAAAATAAAAAAAAA